CAACACTATTTGTCTCCCTCCACCCCAGTGTTGGATATTTTTTAATAATTAAAATTTTCCTAATTTGGATCCCCCCTTTCTCCTCTTCCATCTACAGAGCCTTTCTACAGTATAGGAGACACATTTGGCCAGGGAGAGGACCATTGCCAGTTTGTGGACTCCTACAGGGATGGAAGGACGGGCCCGGCCTACCTTTCAAATAATTTGCCCACAGCACAAGGTAAACAAGACTAATATCCTTTTTTCATGACTTCCTATATTTACTTACCTTTACCTCTTTATTTTTATTTCCCAGCTACATAAAGTTGCCTGCTTTGTGAATGAAAACCAGCTTTCAGATCTCCAGTGCTGCAGCTTCTCTGTGTTCAATTACATTGAAAGGATAATGCTCGCATTATTTTATGCCTGACCAAATTCCACAAAAAGACTAAAACCAACAAATGTTAGTCCCTCTCTCATTACTTTCCAGCTCCTCTACTGTGTATGTGGCTCTCAGCCCAAAGCTCATTCATTTCTACTGAAGGCATAAATAAACGACAAAACAAAATGTGATAAGGGTTCAGTGAAAACAGACATAGTGAGTAGATGGCGCGTGTGACTTCATCACATCTGTTTGGAGATTGTGATGTTCCTCGGATTAATACACAAGGCAAACAGAAATGCCATCATGTTTATGTTCATTTGAGGTTTGACTGGAGATCTTTTAATTACATCATCAATAGTGTATTGCACCTGATTGGAAAATTAGCACCACCAACTGTTTATCTCAATGCACCCATTTCTAAATTTCAGCATGTGTAATACCGTATGTGGAAAAGCATATTTTTTTAGCATCTTTTTTTGCCAATTTTTTGGAAGTGTATTTTAAACTTGTGCTAAATTTGACTGAAGCCCTGGCTGATGGTGATGAACATATCCCGTTTTTCTGCCGCAGGTTTTTATCGTGCCTACAGACAGGAGCCAGTGACATTCGGAGTTATTGGCCGACGTACAGCCCATCCGTTCGTGGGTTGGTATGAGTGCGGGGTGCCCATCCCTGGGAAGTGGTAACACACTATCAGGGGTAACCATTCTGCCACCTTTTGCAGGATCTCGCCTTCATTGGTCCTGCCCTTAAGTATAGACTTTTGCCCGCCAGTGAAAGGACACCACTACAAATTTATTACAGCTTCACCGAATGAGAATATAGTACTTCTAATCAACTCAATGTATATCATTACCATGCACTTTTTATATAAAGCGGTCTGTATATAAGGGAAAAAAGAAGCACGTGTGCTCTTGCTTAGTTTAACCTTTGTCTGAAAGTGTCCTTTTACTATTTCCAGCTCTCCCAGAGACAGGTCACTCACCTAATGTTATTTATCTCATCAGTAATGCAACCACACGGTCAAACCAGTGACACTGGACCAAAGCACAAAGCAAACTGTAAGAATAGGAGCTTAAGGTGTGTATAGGTCTGTTAATTTTCAATTGTGAGATTTGTATTTCATACTGTTACGGCTTCAGACGGCTATTTTTTTGTTTTGTGTGTATTTGTTCTTAAATCATCATACTGTTTTTTCACAGCCTTTTGGTATTCAAAAGAATTCATTCCTTTAATTCAAAAGTTACTGTGTTTTACATATACGGACAAAGAATAAAAGACCAAGTATTTGCTCAGGAACTGTGGGAGATTGAATAAAGGATCTATGGAAACCACACCAATCCAGAAACATGAATCACATCTTATTGACCAGCTGCTACATTCTTTTCCAGCAAAAGGCTCAACACATGATCCAGATCTACTTAATCAGACTAATGGAAGATGATGTGTAACAGGTAGGTTTTGGTTGAGCCAGTTGGAATGACAACTGTTAAAATCTAATGAAATGTCAAAAACAACATATTGTGGACAGGTGAGGGAAATAGAGTGTGAAATACCTTTGTTTTGGCATTTGGCATGTGAGCAATTGTGGACAGGACCATCAGCCATGTGTAGTGTATTACATACTGGCCAGTAAATATATAAATTGAACTTGTAATGCAGAACATTTGAACCATAATTTGATTTGACATGGAGTCAGTTATTCATTGTTTCAGCTTTAAAATGTGAGGATTTGCTCTTTTTTGTTTATCTGTCATATACAGTACAGTAAAAAAAACTGACTTTAATCTTAGAATTTGAAATTTAAACTCTGATTAAAGTCAGAATTCGGAGGAAAAAAGAACTCAGTGTGAGAACTCAGAACTCAATTTTGCATGGTGGCCCCAATCCTTTTCCATAAATAACCATCTAAATGTTCTGAAAATATTTTCAAGAATAACAGAGTAGAATATCCAAATGAATATTTACATACAAGCATCCCATCACATATCCAATATTTTAGCTGGAGTTTGTGTTCATTGGAGTTGTTTTCTTTTCTCATTAAGAACTGATTTCATTTTTCCTCACTGTTAGACTTTGGATGTAGAGTTGGACTGGGATTGGTTGCATCTGCTTTGATTAAGAAGTGCAGCCAAACACTGACATTAGAAGGCAGCAGGATAAAATGCTGACCACCATCAACGTCAATCCCACAAATAAGAAAATGCACACAAACGCAGCCTTTTAATTTTGTCCAAAGATGTTGAAATTGATCTTATTTTCAGCCAAGCTAACACTAATGACACCCATCCATAATGACACAGAGCTGCAACATCATACGTCACCTATTTTCCAATGTGTTTAACATCCTCTGTAATAGTTTTCAGTCAAAGCCAAGCGCACAGAGCTAACTGCAGATCCTTTATATATAAAAGGCAAGAGGCCACGCTTGCTTGATTGAGACCAGGCCTAGATGACTATTCCCACTGGAGCTTACATTACAAATTCAATTACTTTTTAAACTGGCTTCTTAGTGCCTGTAAGCTACTCCTGGCATTTCTGTATTAATTTTAAAAGAGGTCATTTCCATAAATGTGACCATAGCACAAACCTTACTTGATTGCAAAAAAAAAAAGATTGTGGTTCTGAAAGAATGCAGGTCTTCTAACTCTTTTCCACATGCTGCCTTTTTGTTTCTTTCTGATAAAAGTGGGTCACACGCTGTTTGGCCTGGAAAAAGTTAGACTTCATTCTAGAGAGCTGAAATCATCACAAGAAGAATCAATTGAAGGTTGAAGAGAGAAAAGCAAAAAGAGAAGAAAATGAGAGAATTGGAAACTCAAAACCCGTATGTTTACAAGCAACGTCGTGCTATATTTTTGTTGTTGTACATAAAGTTTACCGTGGATGTTTGACTTTCTGAAACCTGCATCAGTTGATTGCAGCTGTGAACCCAGCAATTTCTCTACACCAACACAGTGGTGTCATTCAAATGGATGAGGAGGCTGCCTTTTTTTTTTGATGCAGCTGTAATGACTCATGTCTAAGCCAAAGACATTAATTCTCCGGTGTTATAACTTTTATCACATTTGGTAATTTGATATAATATTACATCAGATATTGTGCATACAGGAAGACAGTGTCAAGTCACAAAGACACATGATAAAACAAGGCATGGCCGTGCAATCATGGCTCTGCAAGTGATTGTGGCATGGTTCAGTTTGTTACTTCAGCTCATTTATAGACCTGAGGAAATCTGACAAGTTGACTTATTCTTCTTTGCCATGTGTTAGATGAAGGTGGGATATGTTCCTAACTCTGTCATATGGCTCTGAGCTTTGAACTGTGCTTCTCAGCTGCTGTGCTGCTTCATAGTCTTTCAGCCTAGACCTGACACAGAAGAAAACAGCTGTTGCAAATTATTATTAGCATTTGTTTAATCCTGCGAGATCATCACACACACAATGTTGTGTAAGTCATCTGCTAAAACACCTGCTAAACTGACTTACTCATGGCACTTTGTGTTGTCCCACAGTAAATGTCAAAAAACATCTGGTGTTAAAACAAATGTGAAATAGTTTTCAAAATGAACTTGGCTTGACCAGCTCTTGCCTTGGGTTTGGAGAATTTTACATTGCTCCTTTTTCTCTGAGGCTCGCTCCATCTCCATGTGTCTTTTATACACACTCCACCCTGTCTGTCTTTTTGGGGTTGTAAATGCTACACCACATTGCCAGTGGCTTAGGAAACAGACAGGCAGTGAGCACAACAACACTCAGAGACCATCTGGATTTACAGGCAGTAGTTTTGTGCCATCAGTAATGAGTCTGGTTCTTGTACTCATGATAGATGTTATTACTTATCTTTTAACAACCACTGGAAAGCACTTCAGGGACAAGATGTGTTTATACAAGAGGGACAGATGTGAAATAAAAAGAAACTAGTACATTTGTGTATGCAGACATGCTGCCCATACTGTATACCTGCAAAGAGATCGAATACAAACAGTATAGACAAAAATAATGCACATACTAACATGAATACACTCATCAACAGAAGTGACGCTTGATCCAGACATCACATTCATCCAGTGTCTTATAAATATGAAAATGGAAACTGAATGCTTTCCTGCTTTTTGGCAACTGCATTACATCACTAAATCTGGATTTTTAAAAAAGAGAAAAATATACTGTAGCATCTTGAAAAGCCATCTCATACCAAAGAGTAGTCATACATGGAAAATTTAGAATGCAGTTTCCTGAGCAGACTTCCAAGGCAATATTTTACTGTATGTCTTATTAATCACTCCACATTAAAAAACATCCTTGAATGTGGAGCCAGGAGGTGTTGTGAAAGACCGGCCTCTGCTCTTCTCAGGCCGATTGGTGCAGTCCCACAGCTCTGGATGGAAAAATCACATCACAATGAGAGCTGCCCAGGCTGGCTGGCTGGCTGGCTGAGGTAAGGCAACAGCCAGACTAACAGAAGCACATGGGAGGAACAAAAGGAGCATGACGTACAATGTTTAGGAATTTTACGAGTGCATCTTTATAGTGACAATGCTCCTCCTGTATTGTAAACCAGAGCACTTAAGATAGAAGAGCTATGATACTGAGGTGTCAAAAGCATCATGTGACTCATGTAGCATCAAATAGCTCCAAACTGTGGATTTAGATTCATTGAGAACAGTGGGATTTATCAG